CTCTCTCGTGATGCCCTCTCTCCTCTCTCTCTCTCTCTCTCTCTCTCTTGTGATAGCCCTCCCCCTCCCTCCTCCCCTCCCCTCTCTCTCTCCCCTCTCACCTGTTGGTTGGTGATCGCGCTCTCTCCCCCTCTCTCTCTCCTCCCTCACCTGCTGGTTGGTGATGGCCCTCCCCTCCCCCTCTCTCTTTCCCTCCCCTCTCCCCCTCTCTCTCCCCTCTCACCTGCTGGTTGGTGATGGCCCTCCTCTCCTCTGACAGTCGATCGTAAAACACCGGCTCCTGTATGGTCCATAGCACCCGCGTCCCCGCTCCTACCAGCTGGTCGAGCACTGCTCCAAGCCTCGTCACGTTCCTTTCATACGCCTTCACTGCTAGCTCAGAGCCGTTGAGGTCTTGATGGCATGTGTGGCACTGCCAAGGACTAGCAGCTGTGGTAGTTGGTCCGATGAGGCATCTCTCCATTTGATTACATCGCCTCGCATCTTTTCATCCGCCATCGGTCTCCAGAGAAACTGCACGTGAAGTCCCAGCTGGGCATCTTCGTAGGCGATATCCTTGTGGCGGTCTTCTCCCTCGGGCGGGGGAACAGTCTCACCGAACTGACCAACAAACGCCGCGTAGAGCTGCCGCACTCGAGAGTCCCCAACAAACGCTATGCGGTTCCTCTGTCCGAGGAACTCAAGATAGCGCATACATCTTCTAGAGTCTCTCACGGAGTACGTATGAACCATGCATCCGTATGGCTGCCAGGCTTCGGCATGATACTCTCCTCTTGCCAACAACCAATCACACGAGTCCGTTCCATATACCACCCTGACGAGTCCATGATAGGAGATGAAGAACAGCACCAGGGCAACTGCCACGGAGCGCGCAGTAGCAGCGTTACAGCGGTGTAGTAGTGCGTGTGTCAGCCCGGGGCGGGTGGGTTCAGATGGCGGCGGGCCCGAGCAGTCCTCCTGAGACGTCTGGCTCCGGATGTTGGCTGGGGAGAACGTCATCTTGCAGGCGGCGCCTGTGGGCAGAGGGCGCAGAGGGTTAGAATGGAGCTGCGGTAGGGGTCACTGCAGAGGGTTAGAGTGGGGCTGCAGGGTCACCGCAGAGGGTTAGAATGGAGCTGTGGTAGGGTCACTGCAGAGGTCAGAATGGAGCTGATCAAGACACACATAGAGAGGTTATATGGGGCTGGTAAGTGGTGACATACATAGAGAAGCGTGTGAGGGGGCAGAGAGACGTTAACATAGGGGGTAAGACATGGCAGAGAAAGGGACATGGGGTTAAAAGGGGTACATGAGAGTACTACGGGTCACGGAACACAAATGTTATAATGGGTCTGTGTGCGGGACATATAGGGTGATTATACTGGGGCCGAGGGATAGAGGGGGCAGCGGGGGTTAGAGATACTGCGGGAGATACTGTGGGAGGTCACAGTGGGACTGAGGATACATGACACTATAGGGGCTAGAGAGACTTCTAGACACAGGGAGCTCATAGTGAGACTGAGCGCAGACGACACTGTGGACGACACCAAGGCCGTATATAGGAGGTAGAATGGTTAGCCGTTTATTTACATCGGTGACCTTGAAAGATGAGGTCAGCAGGTATCTACCAATCTTCGCCAACATTTATCTTCGATAATTTTATCCTCGACAGCTTAATATTAACCTTTCGGCTCCCTTAGAGCATAAAAAGACAATTTACTGCACCAGCAATGTCTTAAAAATCGACAAAACATTGACACCCTGTGACGTCATCTGTCTCTCAGCCCTATGTGGCAGGATAGAACCATAACCCCCTGAACGACACGGCAGATGGAGCTGTGAGAAGACAGAGGGAAGTTTACAATGGGCCTGCAAGAGAATGGCCATGGAGGTTAGAACAGGACTGCGACTGAGTCACTGGTTATTGGTTAATCAGCCGTTGGGGAGGCTACAGGAGAAGGTAGGACTAGTTTTGGGAGAGAAACACTGCAGGAGGTTAGCATAGGGATGGTGAGGGGCAGCATGAAGCTTATAATGAGCTAGAGGCACTAGGCAGATGAAGCCATGAGTTTGAAAGAAAGTGTGGGCGGGAGGGGACACACAGGCAAGTTATAAGAAGACAAGAGGGCAGAGGGAGCAATTAGAGGTAGCAGCAGAGCTGTGGGAGGGGACACAAAGCTTATGATACAGGGCGAGAATCAGGAGGTCTGAGGGGACTGGGGGGTAAGCAATGTTAGAAAAGGCACGGGAGGAGATGGTAAGTTTAGAGGGGGGGAATAAGAGGGATCATGGGAGGTAAGAGGAGATGAGGGCTGGTGAGGGGTCAAACAGGCTTAGGGGATATAAAAGGTCGGTGGAGGTAAGAAAAGGCAAGAAAAGGGGTTAGAAAGGGCTACTGGAGGGGACAGCAGGGTCAGATGGAACTGAGAGAGGGCTACTGAGCTTAGAGAGATGAAAAACCCCAGGAAGGACATTTGTAAACATGGCCAGAGAGAGATCAGTCAGAGGTAACTACAAGTCATTGGATAGAAAGGACAAGTCACTTGTCACCGCTTTAATCAGCCAACTGCTGAGGAGCAGCAGGAGGGCTGTTCACGGGCCCGGCCTGTGTGCGGTCGGACCGAACACAGCCTCCAAGCTCCGCCCACTGCATCCCTACGTCAGCCTTCCGTCACCGCACACAGCGATCGCTGTGGCCAGTCGGGACTGGCCACAGCGGACCGTCCACCCCATGCAGCCGTGACGTCAGAGCCGCCTACCCATCCCCTACCCCCACGCCTGCTGGACGCACAGCACACACACCACACGCAGCAGTGTGCGGTGCCCGTGAACACCCCTAGGATCACATGCATTGTATCAAGGCGATCTAATGATATAACCAATGGACCAGAGGTTTCTCAAAACACTTGACGCATGCCCCTAACATGAACAATATATTCAATAGGAATCAAAAAACAAATAATGCATTTTATATCAGATTTAGTATCAGCGGAAAATCACCCACCTTACATTGCAATACTTAAATAGATTAATTGGGTGAATTCTTACCTGTTGAGCAGGCGAGTAAGACCAAAAATCAAAACATTCACGGGCAAATATTCAAAAAAATCACCGAAACATATCCAATCAACGTCCCAAGCATGCCACGTAGTAAACAACCCGACCGGCACGAACCCTCTCGTGTAATGTTCAAAGATGTTTGCGGGATACAGTCGAGCAATAACCAGTGGAATGCTAACCAACCGGGGCGAGAAGAAATTTCAAAGAACGTGAGCAATGTGTTTTGTTTCCAATTTAGAACAGATTGCTACATGCGTCGTAATTGAAAACAAATTAGAGATGATAATAACAAATAAATGCTTTCATGGATAGTTCTTGTGCGATTGTTTTTTGTTGAAAAGATACTTTATTAGCTGAACAAAAAATACTTTTATAATCGATGAAATTAAAAGCGAAAGATATTTCATTCACGAAGAAAATAATTTGACACCCCTACCAGAGGTTCTCAAACTTAGCGGTACCCATCTCCTTGACCCCATTGGTTCTTGGTCCCGTCTGGGAGGAGGGGCTTCCAGGGCTGGACCGGGAGAGGTGGGCAGCGCTGCAGCCCCAGCTCAGCTGTGTCGTGTGCGCCTGTGCCGCACCACCGACCGGGTCGATCGGGCTGCGCGGTGGCGGATTCCATAGGCCGGGACGGCGCAGCGAGAGAGAGCCGGTGCTGTGTTTAGTGTTCTGTGGGAGAGGTGGGGCTCTGTTGAGCTCTCACATCAGTGTATGGGTGTGAAGTAGCGGTGCTGTGGTATACTGTAGAAAGTCATGAGGCTGCTAGTGGTGGCCCTAGCTGTGGCCTTGTGCTCCGTCGCGGCGACCAGCAAGGAGAAGAAAAGTTACGACGGAGATTTCCTCTTTGATGAGGAGGACGATTGGGTAAGGGTGTTCCCTATCGTCCCCCATGTATTATACATAGGTTGGTATGCCTACCTACCCGTTATCCAACCGTTGACAGAGGATCCGTCATGGTCTCGACATTGGGGTCCCAGCCAAAAAATGCACACCCTATACATCGGGCCGCATTACGAATTACGGAAGCAAAGATGACGGAAACACTTCGGTGACCGTTCCGTGCTTCTATCCTCAGGATACAGAAATCCTTCTCCTCCACACTGCAACCTCACTCTGGGCTGGACAGGCACCTGACGTTTATCTCATGCGGGCTGCTCCCTTGGAGCGGCACCGCTGCTCCCGAGGAAGCGCAGTGCGCACCCCGTAGCCGGGTGCAGAGAGTGCTTGGGGGGCTGGTCGGCCTGTCCATTCGGACGGGCTCAGCCCCGGCGACTCTCTAGGGTGTCTGCCCAAACCAATGTCTCCCCCTAATTCCTATCATCCTTCCGGCTCTGCAATGGTCTTGTCAGACCGAAAGGGCCTAACCCCCCCCCAAAAAAAAAAACACCGGTCATTTCTTATGTCAGGTCAAGGGTCAGGTCGCCAGAGGTCACCGAAGGTTAAGTTTAGTCCATTTTCAACTGCCTACAGCTAACTCGGGAACCAATAGAGCTATGGCGCCGCGGAAAAGCGCATTCGATAGCTCTTGGCTTTTATAGTATTTTTCTCAGATTTGGCCTCAGGTCAATGGTTTAGCCTTCAGAGGGCAACCAACTTTAAAATAGACATTTTCACGAAACATATTAATCGGTAATAACTTTTGACTGAAGAGTTAAGAGAGTCACGATATTAATTTTGCGAGCATCGTGTTCCTGTCGTCGAGACGCGTCGAATCAACTATATGTTGACCTTGAAGGGTCATTTTGCAAATTTGACCTCAGGTCAAGGTCATGACCTGACCGAAAAGGGTCATGTTGCATATCAGTCGATCCGTATCATCTAGCTGAACACATCTGACGTGTTTTCACCGCTCTAGTACGTCCCTATCAAAAGTTATCCCGCGCCCTGCTGGGGGGGGGGGTGTTTGAACACCCCCTTGTGGTTTTTCGCGAATATCTCAAAAACGGGGGCGCTCCGCGCCGCCGTTTTTGGTACACCTTATCATACAAAATTTTACACATGTTGTAAAAATTTCAGACCAAGGTCATTCAAGGTCAGGTCACCAGGTCACTTGAAGTGGCCTCACCTCATAAAAAGTTTCAATGTCTGTCATAGCTACACCGAGTGACCGATCGCTTTGAAACTTTCAGCGATTGCTAAGAGCAATAGCATGTACAAAATGTGTATCTCAGAATTTTGATATCGATGACCTAAGGTCAGGTCAATTTTGCGACCTCCCCATTATAAGTCAATGGGAGAAAATTGAAATGCGCCTATTTTGGACGAAAGACATTATAAACACTCCCAAACACTGAATTACAAGTGGTTTAGACACACTGAACATGAAAATGGTGTCCGTGACCCCTGTTTATGCCCTGAGGTCATCTTAGGTCACGAATGGTATCTAACAGTTTTTCGCAAATAACTTTTGATAGAGGCATGCTAGAGCGATGAAAACGCCTTAGATGTGTTCAGCTCGACGATACGGATCGACTGATATGCAACATGACCCTTTCCGGTCAGGTCATGACCTTGACCTGAGGTCAAATTTTCAAATTGACCTTTCAAGGTCAAGTTATAGTTCATTCGATGCGTCTTGACGAGAGGAACACGATGCCGGTAAAAGTAAGCTGGTACAAGGCTTGGGTCAAAAGCTATTGCAGAAAAAACTGTTTCCGAAAAAATCGGCTCTTATTGCAGTTTTTGCCCCCTGCAGGCAAAACCGTTGACGTTAGGTCAAATCTGAGAAAATTTCTCAGAAAGGGCGTTAATAGGGCTATCGAATGCGCTTTTCCGCGGCGCTGTAGCTCTATTGGTTCCCGAGTTATGCGTTGGCTTCTTGGAAATTTTCGACATTCGACCCGGAACTCGGCGAAATTTTGCCCTCAATGACCTCTGGTGACCTGACCTTTGACCTGACCAAAAAATTGACCGAATAATTTCCTTATTATTTTTGACGCTCTTTCGAACGCCGCCTTTCGCGTATCGCTACGTGGCCCAGGAGCCGAGTTAGAAGGGGGGTGTTCAAACACCCCCCCCCCAGCAGGGCGTGGAAATCCAGGACCCCCAGCCGGGCGCGGGTTATAGTAAAAACTGCTGGTGACCTTTCATAACCTGAGATGTCCTCAGAAGCACACAGAAGGGTCACAGGTGCATTTTTCCGATTCAGTGTGCCATTTTTATAGTTATGGACCGATGCTTGAGAGGATTTAGAACGACGCTCGTCCAAAGGAGGCGCTTTTCAATTTTCTTCCATTGACTTATAACGAAGAGGTCGCAAGGTTGACTTTTAACCCGCGCCCGGCTGGGGGTCCTGGATTTCCACGCCCTGCTGGGGGGGGGGGGTGTTTGAACACCCCCCCCCCTTGTAACTCGGCTCCTGGGCCACGTAGCGATACGCGGAAAGCGGCGTTCGAAAGAGCGTCAAAAATAATGACGAAATCACTTCGGTCAATTTTTTGGTCAGGTCAAAGGTCAGGTCACCAGAGGTCATTGAAGGCAAAATTTCGCCGATTTCCCGGTCGAATGTCAAAAATTTCCAAGAAGCCAACGCATAACTCGGGAACCAATAGAGTTACAGCGCCACGAAAAAGCGCATTCGATAGCCCTATTAAAGCCCTTTCTGAGTAATTCCCTCAGATTTGACCTAACGTCAACGGTTTTGCCTGCAGGGGGCAAAAACTGCAAAAATAGCCGATTTTTCGGAAACAGTTTTTCTGCACTAACGTTTGACCCAAGCCTTGTACGAGGTTACTTCTACCGGCATTGTGTTCCTCTCGTCAAGACGCATCCAATGAACTATAACTTGACCTTGAAAGGTCAACTTGAAAATTTGACCTCAGGTCAAGGTCATGACCTGACCGGAAAGGGTCATGTTGCATATCAGTCGATCCGTATCGTCGAGCTGAACACATCTAAGGCGTCTTCATCGCTCTAGCATGCCTCTATCAAAAGTTATTTGCGAAAAACTGTTAGATACCATTCGTGACCTAAGATGACCTCAGGGCATAAACAAGGGTCACGGACACCATTTTCATGTTCAGTGTGTCTAAACCACTTGTAATTCGGTGTTTGGGAGTGGTTATAATGTCTTTTGTCCAGAAGAGGCGCATTTCATTTTTCTCCCATTGACTTATAATGGGGAGGTCGCAAAATTGACCTGACCTTAGGTCATCGATATCAAAATTCTGAGATATACATTTTGTACATGCTATTGCTCTTAGCAATCGCTGAAAGTTTCAAAGCGATCGGTCACTCGGTGTAGCTATGACAGACATTGAAACTTTTTATGAGGTGAGGTCACTTCAAGTGACCTGGTGACCTGACCTTGAATGACCTTGGTCTGAAATTTTTACAACATGTGTAGAATTGATGTATGATAAGGTGTACCAAAAACGGCGGCGCGGAGCGCCGCCGTTTTTGAGATATTCGCGAAAAACCACAAGGGGGGTGTTCAAACACCCCCCCTCCCCAGCAGGGCGCGGGTTAAGTCAAAGCCTTTTTTTAGGTAAGGTCACTTGGCGTTACCTGTTGACCTGACCTTGAACGACCCGGGTCTGAAATTTTTCACATGTGCGGAGAGGATTTATGAACAGAACATGTGTACAAAAAACGGCGGCGCTGTGCACCGCCATATTTTTAGATAGGTTGGTATTCGCGAAAAAGCTGAGGGGGTGGCGTAAAACCGCCCCCTCCCCCCAGCACGGCGCGAGTTAACCTTTGCACGGTCCTAAATTGTCGCATCACTTAACAACGCCCTCAAAGCCAGAGGAGCTTTCACAGGGAGATGAAAATTACAGGGCCTGGTGTCATAGAGTAGTGGACTCAACAAGAGGCTTGTAGAATGGATGATATGCGTCATGAACTCTGTCGACCAACTTTAGAACCTGAGTGGCTCTGACCTGAAGTTGACCCTAGGTCGACACCTAATGTTAACCTCACCTAAATTTTCCGCGAGGGGTTGAATGGCGAGGAGGTGTTGTACCCCTTCGCCGGAACGTCTGAAGAAAAGCGATAGGTCCGGCGGGGATCAAGAAGAGATGACCTCCTGTTGAACTAACACGAGAATGCCCGATTGACCCGTGCTGTGTTTTTTTTTTTTCAGAAAGAGAAGAAAGAGAAGCCTATAGTAAAAACATGGATATGGGACCCGGAAAGTGAGTACCAACTACCTACGCAACTTTGTGTATAAATGTGCGCCGGGGATCCATCTTCTCTTGCACTAATTGCATGTTTATTTATTTTACTTTTTTGCTTGTGACTTTACTCATATGACACGTCTTTATATTTAGGATTAAAGAAAGAAAAAACGAAAAATTACGTTACCTACTGAGGCGTCCTTCAGGTTCCCATTATGCACAATTATAGCCTATGACGTAAATATTGAACAAATCAATGACGTTACTATCTGTCGCACCCTCAGGCGGCCTGTGTTCTGCGCTGGCGTGCCGATCCAACGAGATGTGTCTACTGGAGGATGCTTTTACCGCAGTCTGCGTGAGCCGAACCGAGCTGAAAACCAACGGGTGAGTGCTAATGAACTGCAGTTAAATAGTGGCGAGCTGATAGAATAGTGGTTTTCGGAGCGGAGGATTCAGGTTCGATCCTCATGCCGTCCATAACTGGTTTAGCGATGTGATTGATAAATAATGAATCCGTGAACGATATCTCCATAGGCCCTGTGGTGAAATCCCTGGGCCCGGGTATCCAATATCCATGTTTATCGTTTTGATGTTTGTATCTGTTTGTAAAATATATAAGCATCTATGAAACCATCTAAGAAATTGATGGCACTAATGTCGCACATAGAATATTGCAAAAGCTTATTTATCAAAACGCTAGAACCGTTAAGTTCGATAGCCTTTAGGGCTACGAACCCGCGTTTTGTCCCAGTGCAGCCATTGCATGAACGAACGTGACCTTCCTGCCAGCTATGGTGGGCGGCTATGAGGCAGCTCCGGGAGCTCGTCCGATTTAATTCAGAGGTAACGTTCCTGAGGTCGCGTTATTCCTTTCTGGCGCATTTATCTGTGTTGAAACTGCGGAACATTGTAACTTTAAATAATGATGCTGGTAACGGAAGGCCAAAGTTTGTTTTCGTGTTTCTGTTGACCAAAAGAAAAAGTTCATACTTCATGCTTAAATAACAATTTTTAATAAGAGTATTGTTCGATGCGTGGACGCGCATAAGATATAGCTATTGCAACTCTATAGCCCAGGAACAATATGATACCAGTGGAAATTCTTCAGGGAAAATACTGCATGCTGTTATCTTTTTTCAAATCATTGAATACTTTTCTAGTAAATTTAAGGTTTGTTTATCGTCCTAAAACAGAAGGTGTTATTCTACGTTGCCAGATGTTATCCATCAAAATCTGTCGACATTATCAATGGAAATCCCTGTCTGGCCCGTAGTAAAGTCAACTGAAAAGCCCCTGAGCTAATGGGTCAGCAAACTAGTTTCAGGTGATATCGGACGGCACCGATATTGGAATCGGTAGAGCAGCTCCACTGAACTCGGGGTCGGTGAAATATAGCTACTTAGGCAGTATCTGGCAGCGTGAAGTTATTTATCATTTTACAATATTAGTGAGTAGGGGAGAGTGGGGAAAGATGCCCAGGGTTTTACTATGTCATATATTATTCGAAAATGACGATCGGAAAACAAAAAGTTGGAGTTTCAACGGAAGCCGACATCATTTTTCTCCAAAAATATCACAATTTCGTGCCTGAAATATGATAACTATTTTTGCTATTAAGCATTTTCCTGAAGAAGTGAAAGGGGGCATCTTACCCCACAGGGTGGGAAAGACGCCCCCTGGCGTTGGGGAAGATGCCCCCTGCACTATAAGTGACATAAATGGGCCCGTGAATCGCCTGAACGAATCAGTAGTCCCTTCGAACCTGCGGTAGACACCAAACGTCATCGTAAGGGCCGTCAAAAGTAGTCGTAAGGGGCTTCAGGGGTCATCGTTAGGGCCATCATAGTCCAGCGCGGCCACACAAGTCTCCGTGGTGGCGTTCGGAGACCACTGTGGGGCCCTTATAGGTCTTCATGATGCTCGAGGGCCCTCGAGCCCATCGTGAGGACCTCAGATGCCAGCGCGGCCCGTGGAGCCAACGTGGGAGCCCTCAAAGGATGTCATGAGGGGCCCTGGAGCCAATAATGGGGCCCACAGAGGCCGTCGTGAGGGCTCTCAGAGTTAGATGCCGCCCAAAAAGTCGCTGTGTGGGCTTAGAGACCGTCATGGGGAGCACCCGACCGTACTGGACTCTCAATAGTCCCAGATCGGCTTTTGTCTCTTATCACAAGTATGTAATAAATGATTTGACGGGCTGCTGGAAGGACAGCCTACGGATTTAGGGGGCGTCTTTCCCCATCAGGACAGGGGGCATCTTACCCCAAGGTACCGAAGTAACATTAAATCAGTACAATTTGTTAACCATAAAACTACACCCTGAAACAACTGTTTGGGACACAGTACACGCATGTTAATGTATCACGACTATAGCAAGGGACGCAAAAATTATCTTCCTTCTTTGATATTGACAATGTTTTGACACCAAAATATTTTTTGAAAGCAGCAAATAAAAAACATGCAATCACCAGCCAGCTGTTGCCCAACTGAGCTTCGCAAATTTTTGTGCAGTTAACAAGGCAGGCTTCTGCTTCACGCTAAGAACATTAATTTCCAGGTTCGATTCTTTGTTTCGCCGCTAGAGGGGGTGGGGCGTCTTTCCCACCCTGGGCATCTTACCCCACTCTCCCCTACGGATTATTTACATTCATAACTCATAAGACGTCTTATCGAATGTCTAGTTGCCTCGCGCTCCACGTCTGTCATTCCATTATGTCATTCTCTTCGTAGCCATTCTTCATGTTTTTCTTCTGAAACTCATTACCGTTGTTTTCCTGTCCTCCAGCTTCCCTGGTCCCTCTTAAGTTCTTTTCGCCGTTTCTCCTAACCTACACGATTGTTCCCGTTTCTGTTTCTCTTCCTCCTTTATCTTAGCCAATAAAAAGGAATCTCCGACGGTTTCCTTGACAACGCCAATGCCGCGCCTCCCTTGCGGATTACATTTTTATTTAGTGGTCGTGTTTCACCGGCCTCCAGTGCTGACGTCTTTATTGGGACGTTCTGTCGGATTGGGGAAATGGTAAATTGATTGATGGCCCACTGCACGTCACCGAAGCTCGGATAGCTGCAGATCTGGCCGACATGGGAAGATCAATCCGCCCCTCCTCGTCGGCGTGGGAGTCCTTTCGGAGGGTCCGTTCTGTACTGTGGTGTAGTCGGTAGAACGTTAGAGTCATGGTGGTGGCTTCGAGTCGCTGTGACAATCGATATATGAGGGGTGACACTTGCCGTCCCGATATCCGCAAAGCGAGCCAACCATTCTGAGCTCATTTTCCGGTGGGATCCAACTCGAGCAAGTTGTAAGTCATACGAATTCTAATTAAAACTAAATGTCAACTAAAAAGAGATCCAGCTACAAAGAACCCGAAAGAGTCCAACTCAAACGAGAATTCAGCTCCAGACTGGGTCCAGCTCGGACGGGGACCCGGCACGGATTGATTGGGGGAGGGGAGTTTAGCTCACAGCTCTGGCTGACAGCTCGTCAAACTGTCAACTGTTAGCTGAAGCCTGAACGTCTGCCCTGGGGGTCGCTGTCATTGCATCAAACAAACGCAACGCCTATGACAACGCCAAGCCTGCCTGTCTCAGCGGCCAGCGGTGTAACATTTTGACAGGCCAAAGACTTCCATTTGATGTCAAAGCTGTTGATTTGTACTGTTCCTCCATCTATTTGCTTCTCATGACTTGGGTCTATCATGCTCTACACTCTGCTACACTTCAAGATTTTCATTCTGATCCTCAAAGTCTCTAGGCATTGCCTTTCTAGTTTCTCCCAATCGTTTTGTTTCTCCGGGATTTCCTTGGAAATTTATCGCACGACCCGAGTCGTTTGTCTCAGATCGGTTCAATTTGAGCTCTCTGGAAAATGGCGACGCGCACGAGCCTTTGTCAGCGTGGGCCCCGCCATTCCGGAGATGCGGCGCCAATAAACCGTAAGGGCGACTTTGATGCAGAGCTTGCCCAGATTTAGACTCGATTTAGATTTAGTCTTTGAATGGGGTTGTTGCATACAAACAGGGAAACTGCATATAGGGGCAGTATAAATAGATACTGGCAATATTCTGATGCAGGAATCGATTAGGTACTGCGGAGCCCGGAAGAGCAGGAAGATTGCTTTTATGACTGTACCGTAAAACATAATTTTCGTGACATTGCACAACTTGCACCTCTCTGCTTTCTATGAAATATCAATGATGTATGCTCATCATAACGGGTATTCTGGTGAAGTTTATAGTGTTTTCAGATACCTTCAGGTCACCAGGTGCGTTACTGGCTATTGCTTGGATTTATATTAGCGTTCGCTCTGCTTTTCTGCTTTGATTCAGGGCACAATCACCTGATGCAGCGGCATGTCACGTGATACGACCAGCTTACCGGAACCTCTTACGACTCGCGTCACGTGACAGGTGCATCAGCCGGCCGCACCCAATCCCTTTGTCACGGGCTGCTACGACCGCACCCTGCTGTATCATCACGTGACATCAGGAGCAGCCAGCCGGCACGTGCTTTTGGACGCTGAGTCCAAGCTGAAATATGAATGGATTATTAGATAAATATGAGGCGCTTTATGTCGGGCTGCGTTATCACTTTGCTTGCATGAAGCTGGGATTTTTTTTCCTGAAGCTGCTGGCCGTTATGGAATACCTACCTAATGAAAGTCGTAATAGGCCTAAGCCAAAGCAATATTCAAGGGCCGTTCTGGACAGCCATGGCTGCGAGATAATTCTCATTTAGCAGTGCTTCCACCCGTAAATCGAAACTCATTTCTGCGCATATGCCTCTTTTATAATGCATTCCAGGACCAGATGATGAAGAATTGCAACATTCCTGGAGCCATTATGGCTAGCAATTAGCATGTAACGGAAATGGTTAGTGTTGTCCAGATCATTGTTTTGTTTCTACGGCTCGGGGTAGGTACGTACCTACCTATCTTTTCTGATAAAAGCTTTCTCAGGGATGTCAATGGCCTAGAAAAGCCTCGTGTTGAATTCAGCGGCCGACACGGCGCCATCCGGAACCAATCCAATATGGCGGCGCCCACGTCCGTCTGTGTCCAGGAGGTATGAGTCACCAGCGCCGCGCCGGCTGCGGAAACTGCAGCACTGTCTGTGACGTCACTAAGGCAATGGTCCAGAGTGGGTGTGGCCTGTCTGGTGGCACAGCTGATACAAATATGGCGTCAGAAACATTATATGTAATATGTATAGCATTGCTATGATGCTTTGTGAGGTGGATATATGCCACAAATGTTAGCGTCTATGAGACACTTTTTGTAGTTTTATTTATTTATTTATTTATTTATTTATTTTTTATTTATTTATGCAAGTATGTATGTATGTATGTATGTATGTATGTATGTATGTATGTATGTATGTATTTATTTATTC